GAGGTAGTGGAGTCTCCTTCGCTGGAGATATTCAAAAGCCGTCTGGATGTGATCCTGGGCAATGTGCTCTAGAGGACGCTGCTTGAGCAGGGAGGTTGGACTAGATGACCTCCAGAGGTCCCTTCCAACCTAAACAATCCTGTGATTCTGTGATCTCCTTTCGGGATATGAATACAACAGCTCAGCTCCTTAGCCCTCCAAAGCCTCATTCGTTAAAAATAACCAAACCAATCAAGCTGATAGATTAAGCTCTCCCCTTCCTTTCCAGAGGTCCCTTCCAACCTAAACAATCCTGTGATTCTGTGATCTCCTTTTGGGATATGAATACAACAGCTCAGCTCCTTAGCCCTCCAAAGCCTCATTCGTTAAAAATAACCAAACCAATCAAGCTGATAGATTAAGCTCTCCCCTTCCTTCTACTGCATCAATGCCTGGTGCAAAAGTGAGAAAAGACTTTCCACGTTTTCTAAGTTTTTCTAAGTTTTGTTTTCGCATTGAAGTTAATGCCAATATTGAAGTTAATAATGCCTGGGGTCAGGATTTCATCCATACAAGTAAAAAAGAAAAATTATCACCAGAAAAATCCAACTTCTGACGTAATCTGTGTACTTTATAAACAGCTTGTAAAGGGCACGGGTGAGCTGATTCTTTGCCAGACTTCCATTAACAATACTGAGAGACTAGCTGAAGTGAAAGGTAAGAAGCAACAGCAGCACTGGTAAACATTTCCATCTGCTGTTCATCATTCCTCAATGCCAGATTTTGACAAGAATAACGCATTGCCAAACCTTCATCAATTTGATGCCTCCTAGAATTTTTCTACCTGGGGAGCAGACCCACATACATACAATTTAAGCTCATTGACAAAAAGCCCCCTTTTTCTTTGTTACCTTGCAGGCTCTTAGATGCAGTAAACAGACTCCAGAAATCTGTAACACAACCTGAAAACCACTGAAGTAGATGTTCAAATGTTTGAATTTCCTAGGGAGAAAGAGATCTTCAAATGTATCTTATTTTTTCTGAGATACAAAATCCCAGCTAACAGATCCTCTCCCATGGTGGCTCATGCACAGAATCCATTCTGACCTCCAGCTAACAGAAAAGTTGTTTTGGAAAGTTGTTGGGCAGCATGGATTTATGCCTACACTTGAATATCCTATGCAACAGCTTACTCTGGTGCACCATATTAAACACAAAAAAGGAAATGGTGAGTGGGCCACGTTTCTATGTACCTAAAAGCAAAGTAGAAGAGCTAAAAAGATCCAAAGAGAACAGGACTTGGATGCACTGAAATATTAAACAAGAATATAAGCTGTAACTGCTTTTTTTTTTTTTTTTTTTTTTTTTTTTTTTTTTTTTTTTTTTTTTTTTTTTTTTTTTTTTTCCAGTGTGTAAACATCTAACATTTCTGCTTAGCAAGCTAAGGAAATCCAAGCTGGATTGCATATGCATACATATTTACATGAATATGAATACATATTTACATGTCAAATTCCATACGTACCAAAGGCCCATACATCTGACTTGCTGCTAAATTTGGTGTAATGAAAAACTTCTGGTGCTGACCACTTCACTGGAAACTTAGTTCCTAGTGAACTTATATACAGGTCATCCAGAACATACCTACAAAGCAAGAACCAAAGTTGTGACTGGTTACAGTGATACACTGCTTATTGCTTCTTCCTTGTATACTACTCCTAAGAAAAACCTAGACAGAATCCCAGATTTCCAAAGGATACCTGATAGAGCATTTGCTATAACTTATAGAACAGATCATTGCTATGAACTTAGTAGAGAAATATCACAGAATCATAGAAATGCAGGTTGTAAGGCCATCTAGCCAAGCCTCCTATTCAAAGTGAGATTTTTCCCAACACCGCTCTTGGCTCTGTATAGCTAAATCTGAAAAGCCTCCAAGAAGGGTGATCCCAAACCTCCTTCAGCAACTTGCTTCGGTGTTGCACTACCGTCCTGGTGAAATAGCTTTTTTCACTGTCCAGCTTGAACCTCCACAGCTGCAATGTGTGATCAATGTTATATGATCTGGCACTGCTGAGAGTAACTTGACTGTGCCATCTGGCAGCTTTTAGGTAACCTATTAGCCTTCTCTTTACAAGACTAAGCAAGCCCTGCTCCCTCAGACTCTTCTTAGAGGATATATGCTCTAGGCCTCTCATCCTTTCCAGCTTCTCCCCACTGAGGTTGCTGATCGAGATGTTTGGTCTCTGAATTAGGTGAATATCTACAAGGGGTGGGGGGCATTATAGAAATAATTTTGTATACAAAGAAAACTCTGGGATTTCTTTAACAAAAGTTGAGTAGTGAAATTTCTCAGCCGTGTTTGGCCTTTAAGCATTAACTTTTTGAGACAGTAGAATGATTTTATTCTAGTCTAGTGGCTATTTAGAAAAGCCCATAATGGTTTATGGCTATTAACACAAAGGAAATACAAAGAGCTGTATTACACCCTGTGGCTTAACTTTACTAACAGCCAGTCACTAGCTGATCAGTGCCAACAAACTACATGTACACTGACTGTAGCTTCACGAGGTTGATAATTCTTTTACTTACCTAGTCATCCCAAAGTCAGATACTTTCACAGTAAGATTGCTGTCAACCAAACAGTTCCTAGCAGCCTTTAATAGCGAAACAAGAAAACGGGTCAGCAGAAAAAATCCAAAGATGAACAAATAATGTTATGGTATGGTCTTGGTAATTTGTGAATAATTATTTCTGCCCAGTAGCATTGGAAGGAATAATGAAATTCTCTGACTGAGGCATTTAAGTTTGGAAAAGTAAGAGCAACTATGACTTTTATTTCCCTTGGTGACCATTGACTGAAAAAATTCTTTACCAGGATCTCAGCTTTACAAAAGGATGACACCGAGGGACCAGAGATGAGCGTTGATTTAATGCATTATAAAGAGAGTGGAACAATGAGAGATGATTTAAATAGTCTGATTTAGGGACTGTTCAGTATGAGCCTAGTTCTAGAAATGATCACTTGTGAACATTTATCTAAGACTGTCTTTTCTGCCTTGAGGCTTATTAATCTTTGTGATATATCTGTATCTGCAGTCTCCAACTTGAAGTCAAGCTCAGGTTTTATTTCTCTTTTCCCATGGTGTAAAAGCCAGTTTTTGGAAACTGATTTTATATTTACAACGTGAATTCTGTTACCTAAATTGTCTGAGATTTCTGATTTCTGAATCTGGGTGTGAAAATTGGTAAGTTACAGATTTAACAATTTAGTTTACACATACAAAAAGATGTTTGAGAGCGTCAACAAGACAGCATTTAAAATGCTACCTGAGGAATTTGCACCCTCATGGGTAAATTAACCAAGCCTGTAACATAAATTGTCACAAATCTTTCAATACACTGTTGTGTAGAGTTAGAAGGCAAAATACTGCTACCAGCTCTAAAACACAATGCTCTGGGAGTTTGGGTGGGTTCACTTTTAAAAGGCCCATAAAATAACTCCTTATTTTCCCAACGTGTTCTGCCACTTCTTGTGAAAACTAAGTTTTGCATAAACTTTGGTTCCAAGTCCTCCACAGGATGTGACCCCTCCCCATCTGAAATAATTTGAATTACTTGCTTGAAATCAGGGACAGATAAATGACTAAAAAAAGAGCTAGGTAGCTGCAGACGTTGAGTTATGGTCCTGTCTACAATGCACCAAAGTTAAACTCAAATTTACCCTGGTGGTTTTCATGCTTGTTTTATAAGAGAAATAGTTCGCAACTAGATAAATCCCTAACTCATTGCAAACAGCCTAAGTTACCCAAATTGTTGATGTTGCATCTCTTTGCCCTGGACAGAACATTGTATTTTAGTGAACTAATTTTACAATTGGTTATGTCTGTGCTGCCAAGTGGTGCGTAAATCTTTGAGATTCATGCCTCCCAGAAATGCAGACAGCACAGTGTGCAGTGCTGTAGACCTGTCAGGTCAGCTCTGAAGCAGAGCCTATTGGCTTGTGGGCAGGGCTGCGCTGAATGTGTCTTTAGTGAGACTAGTCCAGAGCTACCTTGTACTGAGCCAGTCAGATGCCTCTGTTTTGCATGTAGCAACTTTTTTGGGTGAGTGCCAACACAACCTGTCCGGCTGAATCAGAGGGGTTCAACTACCTGGTGTTAAGTCCTTCTTCTTATCCTGTTCTACTTCTCCTGTGGGACAGCTTACCAAATCTCTGTGTATGAACTGACAGCTCTCCAGGAAGGCCATAGCATCACAAATATCATAACATATTTCCAGAAGCTGAAGGGGTTGCAGTTCCTTCCCATGACTCCTTAAGTAGCTAAGCAAACAGCCATTAGCCATGTATTCTGTCACTAGATAGATGGGATATGATTTTGAGCATACACCATACAGTCTAACAAGTTTGGGATGATTAAGTTTCCTGAAATAAACAAAAACAAAATAAACAAGGAATAAATAGATATTGTTGTGCATTTCTCTTAAGTTTTGTTCTTCAAATACTAATAGAGCAACCTGAAAGAAATGCTTGAGACTGTACACAGTCTCATCTTAGACTTTAAAACATTCAGGAAGAGCTGAATCTTCCTTAGCTCATTACTCTGAAACTCAGTATTGATGACAATCAAAAGAAGATTCAGTATCGATGACAACAACAATTTTGTAGTCAACATCTGAATAGGATTTATACACCAGTGCAAATTTGCAACCCTATTGCTGTGAGACAGTAGATTTGAGCCAGTTTTCTGCTGAAACTATGTAGCAAAATAGGTTGAGAATTCTTCAGATATCAGCTAGTTAACTGACAGGGAAGTAGTGCATTCCTTCAGGATATGAGATATCCAAAGTATTCTTGAATTCAGGTTCTTCAATTTTATCTCATAGAATTTCACTAGAAGTGCTAATGTAATTATCTCCCTGGAGTCAGAGACTAAAAACTGAAGTCAAATATTCATATTTCTGGTATTTCCCAGATACTCATCTGTATTTCATTCCCACCTGCAGGATGATAGGAATGGCTTTCTATCCATTTCTGTAAAATTGCACTTTTCAATAATGAAGCATAGTTTTAAATGACATATGCAGAAACTCTAAAGTTGCGGAAGAGATGTTAATTGAAAACCTTTTGTGTGTGACTCCATCAATCTTTGTAAAATTTTTTGATAGCTCTTTAAATATCCTATGCGGATATCTAATTAGCCTGTGCCTAAGGTATTCAATGCTAATTAATGATATTTTTAAGGGGAAACTCATTTTTTTCTGCGTCTGCTATATATTACTGATTAATCTTTGCAGAGATCACTGTTTCCAGATAATTAAAAAATGCCGTAGCTTACATCATGGTCTGAGCTTCTTCTATGAATTCATCTTCTGACATCGCTCCCTCTTTGATCATCTTTATGGCCACATCATATTGTCCCTTCCACTTTCCCAGATGCACCACTCCAAACTGTCCACTCCCTAGTTCTCTCAGCAATACAATTTCTTCTCGTTTCAGCTCCCAGATTCCTAATGGGACAAAGGAAATTCCTTTCAGCAACAACATGGGCAAATGCAGGCACAGGATCCCCTATATGCAATGTTGTTTTCTCTATAGGGTGACAGGAAGCAAGCAAAACACCTGTTGCTCAGCTTTGTGTTTGAGTTACACGCGAAGACTATATTCCTACAAGTGCTATTTGCTACTGCTTAGTTTTAGCCTTATAAATAGTTTTGAGAAAGATTTATGCATTAAATGATGATATATTTTCAAGTAAGAGACTGAAAAACAATTATTGTTGTGCCATGTAACGTGGTAGAGGGAAAGAATGGCCATGACGCAGATGTGCTGGGGAAGGGAGCGTACAAGGACTTCCACACTTGACACAAAAAAAGACCTGGATGGAAGGGAAACTCAGTCTGCCAGTGCCTTCCTATTCACCTTGCCCTGGATGTAGACTAGCTGCACTGGTAGGAAGAGATATCCTGTTTCTTAGAACCTTCAAGTCTCAGTACTCTTCTAGCACAAGAGAAAACTAGGGAAGAAGCTACTGACTGAAAGACCATCCTTCCCAAATGTCTCACAGGGTAGGAGGCTCTGCATGGCCTCTTGCATGGAGAAACTGAAACGGCCATCACAAAAGAAGCTCAAAGTTTCTGCAACCTCTTATTAGCTTGGAAGCAGTAAGAGTCATGATTTCCTGGTCATTCTTTTCTTGGTGGCCAAGATTGTCACCAGTTTTAAAAGGAAAGCCATCTTCATACCATTTCCTAATGAAGCTGTGGCTGGGACCTTATTTACTTGTGTAGACACTGCATGCCGGAGCCTTGTCACCATACCTACAAAGAAAACGTATTACAGATCATGATGTATAGATGACTCTTGTGAAATAAAGAAAATGCAGGGAAATTAATATCTCCTCTCCCATTAGAGCCATCCAGGTAGTGACAAAAGTTTCTGTCTGCACAGCTTCCTGAGACTGAAAATTTCCAGCATTTAAGTGCTGTTTCAGCAGAGGTATTGCAAGAAGAGGTATGACAATATCAAAGGTAAAATAAAGTAAAGCAGCTATATTTATTGCAAATATGGCAGATCAAGCTCTCTCCAAATTATCCCAAAAGATAAGTTTTAATACTTAGAGTATTCAGTATTAGAAGGGATTCACCATCACTCTAAGAAGCTTAGTAGTTTAAGTAAAAAGCAAATGAAGTAGAAAGAGTGCACAGGATTACCTGCTGAGTTGTGCTGGTGGTAGCGAATAAGCTTGGGAATTGATTCAAAACAGTAATTTTCAGCGAGATAATACTTGTTTTCAGTGGTTCTGTGCACATGGTAATGTCTGACTGCTCCTTTTTTACTTCTGAAAAATACCACAAATTATAGTACATGCCAGAGCCTTGCAGAGTGCCTTCCAGCCTGTGCATTAATAGATTAGTTAAGTTGTTGAATGAACTGCAGCACTCCAGCTGGCCAAGTAACACTCCATGTTTAGTAGATGTGACCAAGAGACTGTTAAATTTGCCTCAGTCCTGCTTTTCCACCCCTTACAGCTATGGGCTAAGGAATATAGACTCCTGGCACACTAGAGAGTTCAGTCCTGCTTTTCCACCCCTTACAGCTATGGGCTAAGGAATATAGACTCCCGGCACATTAGGGAGTTCTGCTACATGCTCTAATGTAGTCTGATGGTTAGTACTTGTCTCCCAGCAGGCTCACATCCAGAGCAAGTGCCCTTCATATACTGCCCTTGCAATGGTTTTACATTAATTCTGAACATCTCGGAGCAAGAAGCTCACAGTTAGAAGTAGCTGTAGTCTGCTCCAGAAAGTAACATTTCCAATTTTTCTTCCTTTCTCCAATCAATACCAAACTTCTTCCCTTCCCTTCCCTTCCTTTCCCTTCCTTTCCCTTCCTTTCCCTTCCTTTCCCTTCCCCTTCTCTTCCCTTCCCTTCCCCTCCCTTCCCTTCCCTTCCCTTCCCTTCCTCTTCCCTTCCCTTCCTTCCCTTCCCTTCCCTTCCCTTCCCTTCCCTTCCCTTCCCTTCCCTTCCCTTCCCTTCCCTTCCCTTCCCTTCCCTTCCCTTCCCTTCCCTTCCCTTCCCTTCCCTTCCCTTCCCTTCCCTTCCCTTCCCTTCCCTTCCCTTCCCTTCCCTTCCCTTCCCTTCCCTTCCCTTCCCTTCCCTTCCCTTCCCTTCCCTTCCCTTCCCTTCCCTTCCCTTCCCTTCCCTTCCCTTCCCTTCCCTTCCCTTCCCTTCCCTTCCCTTCCCTTCCCTCCTTCCCTCCCCTTCCCTTCCCTTCCCTTCCCTTCCCTTCCCTTCCCTTCCTTTCCTTTCCTTTCCCTTCCTTCCCTTCCCCTTCCTTCTCCTCCCCTCCCCTCCCAATCCCTCCCACTGCTATTCTTCTAGATTATGTGCCTCAGTTAAATGCCTATGTATGTTTAGAGGGGACAATTCGGGGCCCCCACTCCCCCATTCAAGGAGACAGTAGTTTATAGCATGTAGGGGTTCAGATAGCTGATATGATCTGAATGTGCTTGAGGTTCATCTTGAACATAAGGAAAGATTTTGTTGTTGACTAATCACAGAAGTAGCATACTCATAGCATGCTCATAAAAATGATACATATCCTTTGCATACTCACTCAGGAGCCTTGCTGAATACAGACACAGTATACATTCCTACTTGGCTAGATTTACGAACCATAAAAGCACCTTCCTTACCCTAATTAAAAAAGAAAAAATGTTATAAGAAACAATGAGGTTGGGATTTAGCTCTGTCAGCTTTAGACTTCTACACTGTAATGTCCACATCTGAGCTGCTGATCTGACCTCTTTTCAAAGACTACATAAGGATAAGGTGAATTATGCCTTAGAAATACTTATTTCTCTTCACTAAAAAGAGAGTCTAGGTAACTGGTTGAGGTATCCCACTATAGAAGCTTAAAATTAGGCAAATTGTACCCCAGCCCAGACATGAAAGGCGAGCAGTTTGCAATTTGGTGCACAGATACAGATTTATTGCAGAGGTGATGGAAAGGAGTTGTTAACCTCTAATCCTTCCTCCTGTTCCCCACAAAGGTGGTATGTGTTCTATTACCCGGGCACTGCTGCACACACCCCATCTGGGTAAGAGCTCTATTCACCACAGTGAGTTCCTTTACATAATGTGTTAGGCTGATGTCGTTTCCTGTTGCCAAAGTATTTCTGAGTGACTGAATAATTACAGAGATTTTCTCTGCTCTCTATTATATTTGGACTATTTCTAACCTTTATGTAGTATTCCAGTCCTAACTTTCACTATCTACTTTTACTTGTGTTAATGGTTTACCATACTGGGATGGAAATATTGGCTCTCAGAGTTAGTTTAACAACCACACCTTTCATGTGCTAGAAATGGCTAATTTGAGGAGGAAAGCAGACATTTAAAACCTCACACGCAGGCCAGGTTCAAAGGAAACTTAATGTCCCCTTAAAATTAACTGGACTTGGAAGTATCCAGCACCTCTTGGGAATGGGACATAGATGGGTTACTCCTCCTATTAACTGCTTACTTCCAGTGATTCTTCACACTTAACGTTTCATTCCTGACCCTATGGTTCAGGTGTAAGGGAAAGGATGCTGAGCCAAGGCTCCCAAGGAGACGGGGAAGCTGTTAGTGGTTGGGTGCCAGTTAGACAGGCTGTGAGAAAGCAGCAAGCCACAAGGGGACAAAATAATAACTTCTCTACACTGTGCACCCAAGTTGAAAGCATGGCTCAGTCTGGTTGTCTCCTGGAAAGGTGCACGGACCTGTCCTTGTGCGGTCATCTCCTGTAAGGACCCATGCCCCTGACTAGCCCTGCAGTGTGATCTGCCCTAGCCCCTAGTCAGCTGCATGCGATCAACACTCACTGCACTGTGTTTGCTCAGGGTTATCTGCTTGTCTCAGTGAACTCCTTTTACTCAACTTAATAAATCATAAAACCAACAACGAGAACTAGACTGATCTCCAGAAAGAGCCACATTGGAACTAGCAACACAGGATTAGAGGTAAAATTCATAAACAGAGCTTTTTAGGGAAGTGCACAGTGTGTGGCTTTGCTCTGAGACTATTTTAGAGGTGCACATTTGTGCATCTGTGTATAAGAGCCCTAAATCCATCCGGACACTTTTGGAGATCTATTTATTGCTGCCAAGTTAGTGCAAGAGTTTCTAGCACTCTGTTTACAATACTACAGCTATTTAAAGAGCATGAGCATCCTCTAGCTACATAGCACCGCAAAGACAACAGACAGATATTTCCATGGATGTTCATATACAAGTGATAAAAGACATGTAGAACCTTCTGACGGAGCAGTTGCTCAGAGTGGGCACGGGAGATATTGCCAGCATACCAACTGCAAGGAGAAATATTAGACATATCATTGACAGGCTGATTTCTGAACAAGGCAAAATACAGAGATGAAAGATGCCAGACAAGTAAATGTTTTCAAAACTACTTTTAAAAGCCAGGGGGTAGAGTTGGGACTTTTCCTGCATGTGTGGTTTTAAGTCATGGGATAAAAGGGAAATCACTAGTCCCCATCTGCTTTACCCTGAAATATCTAGGTCTCTATCTGAGCCCACACTGTGATTCAGACTTTCTTCGGTAACAACCTGTACGAGAATCCTGCAGTCCTAAAGCTCTGCAGGGAGCCCTGCTGGAAGTGGTTCACTCCGTCTCCTACAGACCATGACATGACTGTCTCCCTAAAAGCGGTGTGGGCTGCGTAATTCTCCTCTAACCTTTGAACTTTCTGGTTCTCACAACATTTAAGTAAGATCCCAAATGGAGGACAGAAACTAGACATGCTACGTCAATTCAGTTCAGGGAGTTGAACTGAAGTCTTTCTAATAAGACTTCACTCTTATGAAGCATCCCTTTGCTAGAGTACAATGCCTTTTATTATTTGAAAACAAATATATTCATCTCTTTGGAATTTGGGGCAGTGATGTTGCAGATGACCTTAAAACTGATAACAAGGCCTATAATTATTATCAGTATTATGACAGCTGTACGTAGGAGCCCATTGTTCTAGGTACAGTGTACAGATGCAGTGGTTCTTATGAATACATATTCTACATACTCACTCATGCTTAGCAATACTCTGCTCTTCTGCGGATGAATTCTCACTGGCACTAGAGTGTTCCCTACAAAGATGAAATATTATACTGAAGTCAAGAAAAAATAGTAATGAAAATCACTTCCCTCAGGTGAAAAGTTATAGTACATAAGTTTTTCTGAGTAATTGTTGCTATTATGTCATTGTCCAAGGTGCATACTTAAAAAGCTGACGGTATATTTAATTCTCTGGGTTTTTTTCTAACTTGATCAACACTTATGAAGTCTTTCCCCTTCAGTGGTACTACGCATTGTATTGGAAAGCCAAATATTTTCTGTGCATGCAGGCAGTGAAACCACATATGCCTTTAGTGAACTTATGAAGAGATTGCATCCTCTTCAAAAATTACATGGGAAAACTTCCAAAACTGCACAACTCTAAACTTCTCAAATAAATGTTACTAGCAAGAAAGGCAGCAGAAAGAGAGAAGGAAGAAAAGCAGAAAAGGAGGGCTCTAATATAAGCTTTTGCAGAAAAAAATAGTAGTGATTCTAGTTTATGCTGGCTTCTACAGGATATTATAAAAGTAAGTTTTTTAATGAAACCTCTGAATCTTATACAGCACTATTTACTGTGAAAAAATCTGTTATATTTCTATGAGATTTTCATGCAAACACTAAGGCTCATGCTTAATGTTTACAAAGTCATGCCATCTCACTGGAGAGGAGAAGATGGGTCTGATGCATCAACTGGACAGACTTAGACTCACTTTATGCTCTGTTGGAATACTCACATACATACAAACGCCTGTGAGTGTTAGCAAGGCTTGTATTTTCAGGCTGAAATAAGAGTATACAGAGTGAAATCTAAGTCCCATTGAAATCAGGGGCAAGCTCTTATTGATTTAAATGAACCAGGATTTTACACCGATGTTTTTCACATAATGTATTAATCAAGAAGACAAAGTTGTATTTGAGTCTACATCTTTCAGGAAACTTTGTGCACAGTGCTCAGAAAGTTATTAAACAAGCTATAAAAAAGCAAAATATTACAGAAATGTTGCTTAATCTTTCCTCGAATGGTGAGAAGAACATTTAAGCAGTGGATGGCTGCATATTGATTTACCTTGGCTCGTCATCATTCAGAGATAACTTTCTCAGGTAACAGCTCGGTGCGAAGCCTTCATTCCTGCAAAATAAACAGTTCACAATTCCGCTGTCATACATGATTGCATCTTAAGTTTGGTCACTTAAAATACGAAATGGGATTAATCAGAGTCACCTTTTAGAATGCCACTAATAGAAATTACACAGTTAAAACATTTCTGTTTCTCACATGCCGTGCAGAAAAATACAGAGGTAATTTGTTTTAGAAAATTACATTTCAAGGAAGTACTCTTTCTACCAGTCATTGAAACGACTTCCTCCTCAGTGATGGGCTTCGTCATATGGAAGATTGGATATTCGACAATATCGTTACATGCCATCTCAGTTGCTATGATGAAGGATGCCAGTGACTAATGGGTGCCAGCGGAGTATCCAAAGTCAAATACAGACTTCAGAAAGTCAATAGATAGTCTCAGCTACTTCAGACACAATGCTCGACGCACCTGAGAACCTATGTGAACTGAACACAGACAGCTAAGCTACCATTTAAGGCAGTTATCAGTACGGCATATTGGATCTAAGGTATGGGGGCCAAAAGGTATCTGCAGCTGTAAGGGGATGGGTAGTATACTGTGCCCATCAGAAAAATAAGTATGGGGAGTAAACTGTATATTGAATCTAGATAGAAGCAGAAAGAGCGAGCTTCTTCAACACAGATCTCAGTGGAACCAGAGAAAAACTGAGAGTGTCTGAAATGTGAAACAAACAACTGGCTGCTCTTTGCTCCTACATTCAAGAAAAAAGATTTTCAAGTAAAATTTTAATTTTTTTTTATGATGCATATTTGATTTATGCTTACAGAACCAATATTGCCAAAGTCTCAGTTTATCAAGCCAAAGAAAAGAACAACAAATGTTTCCCTTTCTCTTGATGTCTCTCTACTTCTTCATTCATCTCAACACGCTCCAGTCGGGCTCTATGGGCAGAGCTGCCTGCATCATGTGCTTATAGCCATATACATTCCAATGTATGTATTTAAGAGCATATCATCTCAGTTGAATAATATATTACTATCTTTGAGTTGCTAGGGTTGCATGCTGCTTTCTTCATCCAGATCATTATGCTGATTCTATGCGTTATAAGATACAGTTGCCTTATATAAAGTTAAGATTGCTTCCTTTGTTTATTTACCTGCAGATGTAAACTTAATCAACGAATTACGAGTGGATCAGGTAATTTCACTCTGTTTCAAATCACTCTGGACATCCCCTAGCTCAGAAACTCTTCCCTTTTCCATTTCAACCAAGTACGTAAAATCAAGCTCAGCTACTATCCATTATGAGATGGATAAGGAATCTTATCTCTTCTGGGCAGCTCCTGTTTGCTGCTTTGCCTTTGTCTCCAGGTTACTCCTAAAGTTGCTTCTCATTTAAAGAGTTGAGAAGAAACTCTCTTTTCTGCCTCAGCTGGAGATTAATGAAAAAATATCTTATTTTAAATTGTTGAAGGGGATTCTTCCACTTGTGGACCTTGAAGAAAATAATTTAGCTCTTCCATTCTGCGCAGGAAGGGGGTGCTCTATCTGAATATGAACAGATATTGGTAAAGCTGATGAGACTCTAAATGCAACAGTTTTCTCTTGTCTCCTGTGCTGTCGCTGCTATTGCAGTAGGGATGGTGTTGGTCTAAGGATGATCTGGGCGTACAAGAGGGACAACATTTGTGAGGAGAGATTTTATCTTTTTATTTACCCAACCTACACAGTTGAAAAAATGGGCAGCTCCTGAGTATACAAGCCCTTCTTCAAGTACATATAGTAATTAAGGCCACCGGAGACTATTTCAGCTAGTGTAGTAGAAAGGGACTACTATATCTTACCTGGCAGACAAGTATGGTAATGAAAATAAAGTTGTACAGGGAAAATAAGGGTTCTGGAACAACCTTAAAAAGCTATAAACATAATTCTAAAATGGATTCTGAAAAGTACCAGGACTGCTGGCAGGATTGCCTGTGGAGATGCGATATACGGAAGACCATGATTATGGAACTAATGCAGTGGAAACTTACCCTTCCAAATCCCTTACTTGCCACCAGTCAGAGTCTTCTTCTTTCAATACATAATATTTATTGCTTTTAACAAGCTGAATAGTCGAATTTCCTGTGGGTTCGTAGTTGCACTGGGCCATAGCCACCTTCAGGACTGACTTGTCTGGTGATAGCACCTGGGGTAGGCTTCTACTCTTCCGCTTTTGAAGACAGAAAATAAAATGAAAGGGAGATGCAGCACGAGATATAGCGAGAAATAACATGTGACATGCACACAACCATTTGTATCTGCGATGTGCATAATCATTTTAGGCAAATAGATTAAGCTAAGAAGGTGTGCATAGCCAAGCACCTTTTTCCTCCACCCATTTAGAAACACGTTCCTGAAACTGTTGTCCACCTTTTGAGACAGGTGAGAACAGAACCAAGTCTCATCGTTTGCAATGACATCAGAAGCGATACATTCTGACACTGTTGTGATAGCAAGCTTTCAATACTGGGTTTAGGTAAAAGGCGTGACTCATATCAAAAGCCTACCACCTATCTGAAGGTAATACTGTTTAATGGATAGTTCAAACGCATGTGCTTCAGACACCACATGACCAAACTGTATTTTATTATAACTAAGTGTGATGATGTCCTGTTGTATCAAAAGATCCCATCACAGTATTTTAAAATAACTCCTTCTGATTTTTAATTTTTTTATCAATAATAATGTTGCCAATAAACAAAACAAGCATGAGCCAATTGTTTCTGATGATAGCCATTGAAAGCAAAAAGCATACTGGTTGTAAATTGTTCCTTTTCTTTAGCATGCCTTATTGGTCAACATGGATGTTTCTCTGTTAAGCATGTATATCAAGAAGCTCATTCCTTGATACCAAACTTGCCCTTTGTAAGGTTAAACAACTGCTGGTATGTAACTGTGGCATTCATCTCACCTATCTTTGACCCTGGTCTCTAGGTGAAATTTCCTGCAGAAATGCCTATTTCTAATCATTGATTCTTGAGAGAACCTACACAACTAACTTAGACTCGATGCCTAGCATCAAAGTTAGGTGACACTAAGCTATCCATAGATAAGAGAGCAGTTAAAATTAAGGCACTGAAATGCACTTAGAAATTGAGAAAAGGTCATCACTTAGAAAATCCAAATATCACAATGTTTTAAGTACAGGAAAAACTACACATGAAACACAGCCAGTAAAAGATGGGGGAGAAAAACCTACACTTAGAAGGGACTCCAAAAAGCATCTATTTGTAACTGAAAAGCATTATATAGTGATAGCAACGCCAGGGAAGAATGCCGCGCATCCTCAGGCAGGCTGTGATTCCTTTAATGAAGTCCAGCAACCCTGGAATTGTATGTTTACTTGTTTCCTCTTTACTGGCATTTATCTATTTAATTTAAAGAAGGAAAAACTAAAGAGGGAGAGAGACAGAAGACACTCAAATCTCTTCTTGTAAACATGCAAACTGTGAACATGATTTCACCAAGTTCTAGCGGAGAAATTCACTGTTTAAAGCCCTATCTCTCACAGCAGAATCCTCCTCATTGGACTGGTCTTAGATCTGTTACTCATGAAGTATTATTACTTGAACACAGTTAGGCTAGTTACTGTCGGTCACATCTTAGTTCAGTGGAAGGTCTGAGAAAAGTGAGCTCACAGCTTGGGGCCTGTATTAGGCAGGATTCAACTCTTAGGCTTCCTGTTTGTTTTGTGGAATAATGATGGAGCCGGAGTTGCCTGCATCTATCAGGAAGACGGAGAAAATCATAATGCAGAGAATAAACCTTTTTCTTTAAAGCATCTCTGGTGGTATCATAGAAAGTTGAGACTCAGTAAACAATGTGCTTCTGAGGCAATGTACCCCTCTGAGATATGGCCTTGCTAACTTTTGGAAATGAAATTGTTCTTTCCTAATTTCCTGTGTTTTGCTTATGGAATGATCAGAGTGTAATACTTTGATGCATCTTTCATCTTTTTTGTGAAGAGAAGAAAGTGCAAAGCACTGGCCAAAGCAGATGGCAAAATGAATTCTGATCAGAGAAATGAGGTTTGCTTTGTCCAGCCTGCCAGGTGAAATAACTAGCCAAAGATGAGCACATCAGATATGCTTCCCTTTGGGTTTTACTGCTGGATGTATATTTGCCTGTTGCAATATTTTGGATGGACTCCACCCGTAACACCTTAATGTCCTGCCTTCTGTGCATATATACAGCTTTCTATTTCCAATACTGGCTGAAAACCCCAGGTCTCATACCTTCCTAATAATAACTGAGTGGAGCTTGTTACTTCCTTTACTCTGACAGTGTTATTATCTTGATTTTCATACTGATGACTGTATCACTGTTATCCAAAGAGACCAGTAGATGACAGTCTGAGACCCAAGTATTATGTGGATACAGGGAACAGCTGCTATCTCCATAACTGCTTTCCCACTCTATGACTGGAAGTGTGTGCTAGATCACTTCAGCTTCCATAAACCTTGTTTAATACATCAGCATGAGAAGATATGTGTGTGTACACAGTGGACTTCTATCTGATCTCTTGAAGCATTATCCCGACCTACATTTGCCACTGCAAAGAGAGCTGCTACGAGGTACCAGCAGAGATAAAAGTGTTCCTGTGACAGAAAGCTCTCACTGTTACCACGGCATAGGAGAAATGCCCACTGGTTTTTATGAGGGCACATTTGTGCCCATTACTCTTTGTAATGGCATCACACTTCAGGAACTAGCTCTTCTGTGGGAGACTAGAGGTATAATGCTGAGTTTAGGAGAGGAACGCAGACAACAAAGGTACCATAGGTGAAGAGAAAGCCAATGCCAGTAGTAATCTGAAGAGAAAGGGAACAAGACTTGCAGAGGCTGGGGAGCTGAGGGACTTGAACTGAGAGGCAGGTGGAAGGAAGGCTGGGGAGTACAGTGGTACTTCTCCCGACCAACCTGAGCAGATGAAAGAAGCAAAGTAAAAATGTATTGAGCACTTATAGCTGTGGGAGTAGGCTGCTACTGATCATAAAAAGTCAGTATTAGCCCTTATAACCTGATCTGTATCACATGGCCTGGGGAAATGAAGTCAACCCGTTCTGACCAGATCTGGTAGTTATTATATCTGCATTTACTGAACCTGTTCATGTCCCTGCTTTTCAAATTTTCCTTTCAAAATACCTTCTCAGATTTCAAGCAGATAATCAAAATAAATCATAAAGGTCTAGCAGAAGCTGGCCTGTTCAGCAGCAGATTTGCATGGCTGATAATCTCTCCAGACAGACAAAGCATCTCTTGACGGAACTCAGGCAAGACAGACCATGGTATTCAAAACAATCTACACTGCTATGCGTTCATAATGTTGCTATTTTCAAATCTCATTAGCAGAAAAAAATGTCAAAAGTGTCATATCATAATCATAGCCTCAAATCATAGCCTCTTTTCAAGACCTTATTATTATTTTTAAAGCTCCATTTTACAGCTTTTGTGATTTTATCTTCTGTCTCTTGATAGCCTATGTGTTTCTTAAAGCCCTGGCAGTTCATGTCAACTGCGTATATTAGAATCCCAGCTTGCTTTCTTTTATTTTTTTTAAAGTTACTTTGTGATTAATAGAGAGAAGCTAGAAGACGTGCCCAGAATATACCCTAAAGATGTAAAGAACAAAAGGCAAATGAAAAGAAAGAGGGAAATAGTTTTCAAAATCCCATGTTTTTAAAGCCAATCTGGTTTAATTTGGAGGAGGCTGGATTAATGATTTGCTAATACATAAGACAGACCATATTGTTTATCCTGTTTTAAATAGATGAAAACATCATAACTTAAGCCACTTTGCTGTCTTTTATTCTCTTGTCATTGTTATCTTCTCTCCATATACACATCTCAATGAGTAGGCTGGGGAAGTGAAGCTAAGGTCAGAGACATCGCTAGTGCCCTCACCTTTCTACAAGGGGATAAACAGAGTATCAGGTCTTATAGCGTTGCTTTTATTCTTATCTCTGCCAACTACTGCCCTTCTTCATCAAGCACCTTTGTGCAGCGCTGTACTAGAGGATGGCCGAATCAGGTGTGAGCAATACTTTTTGACATCCTGGTATCCTGGCTGTCTTTTTGGGTCTGCATGTCTATTTTTCTCAGGACACCAAGGCCTAGCGGATGCTGGAGGGACATCACGTTCCTGCGTTTGTCTGATATAGAGTCAGGATATAGCCAGGAATGTATAAAGAGCTCAAGTGCACTTCCCACTTCCGTAGTACAGATGCAGCCTCTGTGGAGTGCGGCTAAACAGATATTCCCTGAACAGTCGTCTATACTCCTGACCCAAACCCAGTACAGCATAACTTAGGAGTTGCCTGAGATAAGTGCAGTTCATCCACCTTTTCTCACCCATACCAGGCAGGTATGGAATTTGTTCACACCTTCAGTTATCACTTCTTAAATACTATGAGGACTGTTTGCACTGGGGGGCAGGAGGTGAAAAGTCGTTTTTGGCATCTCTAGGAAAGAGGACTTTCTATGCACCATCGAGCTAATTTTGATTGCATTTCCCTGACTCCACTGAGAACAGGCTAGTGAAGTAAAGGATGTCACTACAAGGGCTGTAGTCAGTACTGGCACCAGCATATTCGTGAATTGAAAGTGGTTGAGACTTTCCCAGTTTCCATATTGAAGAGGGAGATATGTCCTTCCCTCTGACATGCTGGTGGACACAAGGACACTGAAGCTGCACCATAGATTAGAGGTGTCAGTCAGCTTCCAGTGAGTGGCTATCTGCAGTTCTCCATTCTTCCCCAAAGGATCCCCATCACCAAGATCCTGGCGGCTGAGTTTTTCCCTGTAGGCAGACACCAAAAACTTCTTACCTACCAGTGCCTGAGGGACTGGAGGCAGTGGTTTCACAGACTTGGTTGTGCAATAAAGACTCACGTCTAGAAGAAGTGGAGAAATAAAAAATAAAACATGAATTTAATAACGCTTTGCCTCTCGAGGCTTTCTCACAAATCTACATAGCAACAGCATTGTAAACATGAAGCAAAGTGACAATTGACATTTCACCTCTTTGTTGCATAGACCTGTTTTTGTTCTATGTTTTCCAGTCTTTCTTAATTCAAGCACCATATCAATGTCTTTTTCAATCCCATCAACCATTATTCTCATCTACATCAAAATAAAAGTTAGAGGAACATCAAGGGAGGATTTAGCTCTGTCGTTTTCCCAGTTGCGTTAGCTTACTAGATTGTATACAGAGGATAAGACAGGAATGCTTCATTTTTATTTTAGCTTTTGTAATAATTTCATGGACACTTGTAGTGCATGGAGCACATCTTAAGATGTATTGCTTTCAATTACCCAGTGGTTAAAAGACTGAGGCTGTCTGGAGTCTTCCTTACAGAAGCAGTCTGCTTGTGCTCCTTGCACCTCTGTTAGCAACTTCAGGATTGCTGCATGCATTCCTATCTCAGACAGAAACGAAGTGCTCAACATAACAAAATTCTCTTCTTAATTCTTGTCTCGCCTAACATCCAGAGCTGACTATGAGACATTTCCTCGTCCCTGCAACAGACTGGGGATTTCATGGCCTTATTTGCATTTTTAACAAGTGGTTTTAAAGCTATATGAACCTATTTAAACTATTGGTACAAAACAACTGACAAACTCTACATTATTTAGCCTTCCATAATCATGAAAGCTGTATTAACAAGCCCGTATCATTAATTTCAAATTTCAAAAGCAAATGCTACACTATTATAAGCAGTCTCAAAGAAATAAATCAAGTTCCTACCTGCACATACCTACATATTTGAATGCGTCTTTTATTTTGGGCTCCTACGTGTTTGATTGTGACTGTAAATGCTTAAGACCAAGTTTCAATCATGACTGAAATCAGTAGATCTGTCGGTGCTCTACCCTTCTAAATAATAAACTTTAAAAGATTGAAGCCGAAATACTCATAAACTGTTGTTCCCTTTTCCAAATGTGGGCTTTTACTGTTAAGCAAGCATGCAGACACAAGGGAATTCACTTCTGAAAATGTGAAACCTGGGAAGATACTATTTTACAATTTTTCCGCTCTCAGTCTTTACAGTAAAAAGTAAAGACCCTTAGTAATTATGATTAAGTTCTATAAAATACTTTAGAAATACATATTCAAAGGAAAAAGAAAATCAGGTATGCTGCAGGTTATCTTTTATTCAACAGAATAAAAGACAAGCAAGAAAAATAAATAGAAAAAGAAGTTAAAAGTTAAAAAGGGAACTCTATTTTATGCTATTATCTTAGCAGGCTCCTGGAGTCTCCATTCTTAGTTACTTTGTGTTCCCCTGCTATACTGCTGGGGATGTGACTTGTATTCATTTTGAGGTTCTACTTCCATTCTTTGTTTTACCATTTTTTTACCCAAATGCTGCTTTAGAGCTAAAGTAGATCTTGGTACCTCCTAAACATTTGCTTCGTAGGACTATCCATTGTAAGGAAAAATCTGATTTTCAACTTTCTTCAGCTAAAGTTATTTCCCAGCAGTGTTCTGTTTATAAAGCAAAAATTAATTTTTAGCTACCCTCCTGAGTCAGCTGTTCTTATTATAACTTCCTCCCTCTAATTGCAAAATTCCAGAATGTGTTCAAAAATCTTTTGAGGAAAAAATAGCATATTGGTTAGAAAAACATCCATCATAAGAATATAATCATAAAAGAGTATCATACTTCTATTTAGTTGTGGAGCTATATTGTTTTGTGCTGCTTCATGCACATTCTTGTGGTGAATTTTTATTGCTTCTATTTGTTCAGCTATTTGGATTTTATCACCAGAGGTGTATTACAGCATAATGCCACAATTAACCAGAAATCTAAAAAATGAGGAGAAAAATATAACCATTTTGTTCATTTTGTGGGTAAAAAATGTCACTAACTTTTTGATCAAACACAGTAGATATCATTCAGTGCATTATTTCCCCCAATTGTACTGTATAAGTGACAATGTACAGCTACTAGGATGTTAAAGGGAGTTTAACACATACAACAAAAGGCATTGGCAGATATCTTTTATATTTATATGACTTAAATATTCACATGGATTTAGCAATATTGTGAAAAGCATCAGTGAGACTAAACAAGCAGAAATAAAAGAGCATATTACATTTCTCCCAAATCGTACATCCGGGGGCTGCTTTACATGTCTGGCTGCAACAGAGAAACTTCCCGTTGGTGAAGAATCCTTTGTGATACTTGTTTAGTAAATTGGAATTGTCTTTTATTTCTGGAAATCACACAGAAAGCAAAGAGAACATGAAAGGCTACAGAACTGGAATATTCCTTATGATTAATAGAAGATGCTGGAATAAACCTTGGGACCCCAGAGCACGTATCAACTCATAACTCTAGACACACATCTTGGACACATTTTTTCCTCTATGCTAGGAAGAAATCTGGATCTGAAATCCATATCTGCCCCAGCTACTTTTTTCTGTCAAAAAGAAACCTGGGGAGTCAGCAACGTGGTACACTGTAGTCCAGTCAAACCTCCAACAGCCTAAGAAGGATGTAATACCTATGATTCAAAATCATGTATCTTACAAAGATCTCACTAGCAATAATAAAATGAATAAAAACATTTTCATATACCAAAAATATGCAGACCGCTTTCCTAGAGCTATCCATTGTAGGAAAATGATATTCAATGATACTCAGTATCAGAATAGATACTCAGTACCTCATTCGGTAAATCCTAAGTAACGTTAACCTGGTGAAATATATTTCTTATTTGAGCACACCCAAAGCGAATGCCATCTCACAGAAACATTTATTTTATATTAAACCCACTTCTTTACTCTAGAGAAATGGCCCAGTACTATCACTGTGCTGGTGATATATTAGATCTGCAAGCCATAAGAGCATTTTTGGTTTCAAAAGACAGCAGAAAAAACACAGAATGTGTGGAGTGAGACTCTCGACAGAAGATTCCTGAATATGCGAGAGAGCAGCTCAAGGGCTGGTGCACCTCTTGGCCACAAGCGCCTGTTACACACTTTCTAAGAGGCTTGTAGGCAGGGAGAAGATTTGTGCTATCATGCACCTCATGAGCATTACAAAAATACATCACTTAATCTTATTTTTCACCAGTTTATTTTGAAAAATCTTAATGCAGTATTAAACATTCCTTCAAAGATTTCTTGAAGAAATCTCCTTGGTTTCTAGAAGGATCAAAGACTAGCTTGCTGAGCGCTTCCAGTTCTGCTTTCTGGTCCACATTCTGCATAACTGCCAAATTAATGGACCTACCCTCACTTCTGTGCAGGCAAAGGGAAAGTCACAAACAGACAGGTAGGTCCTACATAGGCTTACAGGTGAAATTTGGGAGGATATTTGTTCACAGCCCACTGCCAAGTCCAATGAAATAAATGGAAAGAACTGTGGCAGGTTTTCTACAGATTATATATTCTTGTTTCTACAATGGCAAGGATGTGTACGGGGCTGCTTTATTAAATGTGAGGTTTCTGCCTTCACTGGAGTTATGCAGGGACAGTTTTCGCTTACAGCTTACGGTTTGCCTATAACTTATGCTTTGCAGGATTGGGATTGTGCTCCATCTAAAACAAAAGACATTTCCTTGTGAAAAGAAAAAGAGGAAAATACTATGGAAAAATCGCTGGCTGGTTTATCAAAATGGCATTTATACAAGTAAGTGCTATACTAACCAAATCAGGAATGTTTGTGCTTTATTAATCTGCATTGGTAAGACTGAGGATAGGATGAAGACTAAAAAATGCTTATGAAAAATACAAAAATAAGTTTTATTTTGGCTCATTTCTCAATGAAATTTTCAGCTTTTAAAATTTCTAATCAATTCTTGAAAATACCATGCATTTCAATCAGTCGGTGCTGAAGTAGAAATGAAACTTAGAAACAGGTAACAAAATATTGCAGTAAAATGAGGGAGCAGGAACGTTGTCCTGTCTCTCCTAATTTGAATTTTTTGATATACAGAGGAATAGCGTTACCTTTATGCAAAGCTGCCAGCCATCGGTTCCGACTTTCTTCACTAGCTGCATAGACATAGAGTAGGCCATCCTTGTATACAATCTAGAAGACAAAGGAAAAGCCAGCATGGTGAGAGCATACTGCCCAAAAGCTTGGTACTGTGTAGGAGGGGAAAAGGCTAGAGGATGGGAACCAAAGAAACAGGGTTTGCAGGCCCATTGATAGAAAACGCACACAACTTAGCAAGGTTTTTCAGACACCAGTTATTGTTCTGCCACTTTATATAAATACAAACCTTATATGCACTAGGTTAACCAAAGTGGTCTGTGCCCTTGAAAACTGCATAAACAAAGAACAGCATGGTATATTTCTAGATATACCTGTCTCATATGCACTAAGGACCACGAGGTCTTTATGCCCACATATAAACTTTCTTTCCTCTTGCAGTTTTTCTAGATCCAAATTCCAGGCTTTTGCTCTTGTTAACACAGGGCAAGACTAAATGCTCATCAGGGCAAGGACCCTGTCTCTGACACAGCCAATAAAATATGCTGAGGCAGAGTATAAGCGCAGGGCAGCTGTATAGTATCAGGGAATGCTAATTGAGAAGTTATGCGTTCATACTTAATAGCCCGTGACAAATTGTTTCCTGTGAATTAGTTCAGTTGCCTTTTAAATTAAATAATTATTGTCTACACCGTCCTGCACAAAGTAGTCCTAGAGCTTAGCTACACACTATGAAAAACAAGCTCCTTTTGTTTATTTTGAACCTATCTCCTACTAGCTCCTTTGGATGCCTGACCTAACAATTATTAACATCTGCTTTTTTTTAATCACTGCTTAGCACTGGGCTGACTTTTTCAATGAACTGTCTCTTATAACCTAGTTTCTCATCCTAACTGGTAACAATAAATGCAGAAACTATTTTATACACACACACGCATATATGTTATATTTATATGTTATACATATATGTTATATATATGTGTTGTATATGTACGTATGTATGTGTTTACGTTAAGTCAGGATAGCATTTCCCTCATGGGCAGTACTTTTCAGTTATCTGCACGGAATTTCAAATGCCATTTTATTGCTTTTGTTTGTTACTCTGAAGAGACCTCATTATTAAAAATGTACTCTCACTGTAAATATACATGACTGATCAATTTGCCTCTTATCTCTTTATTTACCTAAACGGATGCAGCTCTGTGAACTTTTCATTGTAAGTCACGTTTTCCAAGCTATTAGTCATTCTCGAGGCTCTCCTCTAACCTCTCTTTAGTTTACATCTTCCTTGAATTATGGTCACCAGAACTAGACACAATATTCTCCTGATGGTCACAGTAGTGTCAAAACAAAGGCAATACAGCCTTCTTGATTTTATTCAATACGTGCCTGCTTCCATGTCCAAGGATACCATTAGCCCTTTTGGCTGCAGCATCACACTGGGAATTTATGTTCAGCTATCATGGTCCCGTAGTCCATTTTAGAGATACTGTTTCCCAGAATAGACTCCCTCACCCTGTAACTATAGTAGACATACTTTTTCCCATTTAAATGAGTTATGTGCTCCTGAGAGAAATACACTAATTCAATATAAACACACCATTCAATGCCACAAAACTGGGGGAGGGAAAAGGCAAAGGAAGACGGGAATGACACCTAGGTTTAGGCAGGCAGTGGAGTACCAAGCCTCTCTCTTGAGGTTGCTCTTGGGCACGGCAATTATTGCAGGAGCGTGAATATTGATACACTATTCAGCACCCATGTTATTCACTCCTCCCAGCAGCCTGCTGCACACTTGTACTTCCACTGTTTGGCAGTGGTATTCTGAAAGGAGAGCTGCACCACTTTCACGTCTGCATGTCCCACTGCTCATGGAATTGGAATTGGTGGAGGCTCTAGGAGGAACCTGAGCAGGGGAACAGAAACAGATGACAGGCAGCAAATCCGAAGTTATGGCTTTCTCAGCACATTTAATTCTTGAGCATTAATGTAGTACTCTGTGGCAGCTGCATCTTCTGATACGTGCACAAGTTCCTGTAGATGAGCAGTTGCTGAAGGCATAGCTTTGGATTTCCTGACTGTGGCAGGAATCATTTGAACGGTAATCAGTTAGTTAGAAGTCAAATCCTGCACTTTGTATTGAGGCAAAACAACCAAAGTGGAAAGAGACAGCGAGAATCAAAATAAGAATTTTTAAGTTTTTAATTTTGCCTTAAAATAAGTGATAGAGATATACTCTATATATTTCCGATCATATTAAAGCAAACCTATGATACACCTATGAATATAAAAGAAAAAAGACTTCATCTAATCCCTGCCACAGTCAAGTGAAAACATTTCAGCAAAGTCACAACTTCAGTAACAGAGACTGTTTTTCTATTTGCTATAAATATCTGTAGCACTCAACACTAGCAGGTATCACGACCCAGAACAGTTATGATCAGTGTATCTGTAGAGGCCCTACGATGACTGGAATATTTCACAAGAAATGTGCATGTAATGGATTCCATGGCTGACCTGAAATGGGTATTGTCTCGCAGGAGGTGTTGATTCCTCAAGATTCACTGTCTCAACACATCGAATTTTCTTAATGTCAATTGACCCCTTTTTGCTTCCTCTTTTCTAAGGGAGAAAAAAACACAGCAGAGGGTAACTTAAGATTAAGCACCATTTCAAACACAGTCTAAAGGATTTTAGATTCATTACTCTGTGCAATTTGATGTTTCAAGCTGGGTAAGCCACGGTTTCAGACTGATTACACTTCATGAGAAAGGTAGTAAAAAATCCCCTTGGTGCCTCACCTTCATCCAGTATATGGAGCAAGTATTTTTTAAAATCAGTTACAGGAATTACAGGACACAGTCCTACATCTGAGAAAAGATCTGCTGCAACTACAGAATTACAAGACAGAAGGGGAGACTAGTAGGAAAAGGAGAAAGGGGAATCAAGAGAAAACACCTTTAAGTGCAAAACAGGATCCCAGCTGTTGTATTCATGATTTTGTTAAGACAGTGGAGCTTATTCTCACTGAACTTCCATGCAATTTCCTAAAGGAACATAACTCCCTGGAAGAATCCAAATGTATTAAAGGAGCAAAAACTTTAAAACAAGTTGGCTGGGACATACAGTTGCATGCCCAGAGATCTTCTGAGTGAAAAGCTATCCTTCTGTGATACACAGTCACTTTTTAGGAAACAGTGATAGTTTAAACATCTGCTTTGTGCAGCTGAGGGATAACACTCAAAACCAATCATGTCTCTCATGAGTAACTGCTGAAGCCCGTCATTTTCATGAGTTCAGAGGGAGGCATGAACAGGAAAGACATCCGTATTCAAGATAATGTTTAAACACATGCCTAATGTTAATTACCTGCTTAAGCGTTGTTGTCTTTGGAAGGACACAAACAGATGCTCAGTGGTAAGCCTAATGGTAAGAGCTGTTCTGAACAGAGACACTCTTAAGCCTGTGGCTAAGTTCTTTCCTGAACTGAAACTAGGATTTGGTATCCTGCAATTTTTTAGTTCTATTTGAAACAAAATGCACCCGTTGTTCTAATACATAGTATCTAAACAAGTTTCACAGAAGAAATAAGGTGACTTTGGAAAATCTTAGAACAGTATATTCAAGAAAATGACTTCTTACCTCTTTGGCATACTCATAGTAAGAAAGATTTGCTTTTGTCAAAACAAACAGCCGTTCCTTGTAATTAATTGGTGAAATCTTTTTCTTCTGTTGTGACTTCTTTAAAAGAAGCTCTTCTAGAATTGTTTTGTTCTCCATTATTTTTCCCTAAAAGAGTGTCATAGTTACTTTTATTGTTACTATTAATAAAAATAACAAAAACAATTACAGCAACCGTAATATTGTATATATTAAGAGTTGTTGTCCTCTCTATGTACTATAAATTTTTATGGTCATATATGGTTACAAAGCATGTGCTTAATACTGCTTAAACAAATAAAGTTGATCTGCTTATTCACTCAGTAAAAACAATCATAATATAGGAAAACTAAGTTAAAAATACACTATAACTCTAAACAAGGCATCGCCATTATTTATTGTCTGAGTATTTCTCCTTTTAAAGCCATGCACTCTTTCTGGCAAAGAGCATGATCTACTTTAAGCATAAACGTATTACATCTGCAGCATAATATGGAAGTCATTACAGCAGCAAAGACAACAAGAAAAGAAAAGAAAACTCTTCTATTTGCAGAAAGGCATACCTAATGCTGATGAGTGGGTTTTCTGAGCTGGAAATTTCCCATTTCTTTATTTCAAATGAAACAAATATAGGTTTATGGAACAATGACATGTAAAAAGATCAAAAAGTAAAAATGTTCTTGTACGAATACATGCACATATATATATATATTTTTTTTTTCTTGATCTTGGTCATCATACAGCAGTAAGTGCTAAGAAGGTTGAGATCCTTCTTATTTATATAAGTTTAGTATGGTTTCAGATTATCTTACCCAAATATATAGAAAGTATGTCCTTTGCCCTGTACGCTCTGGAGCTCCAAAGGAAAGTGTTCTGTTAAGCTACACATTTCAGTATGTCCCTATTCACTACAGAGAACCTAGCAGAAATAATTTGCATAACACTCATCACACCCCTTTCATATATCCACTGAATCTAATCTGTAGCCAGAAAGAAACAAATATCTAGCGGGAACAGTCTGAGGACAGGTAGGGGGACGTGACTAGGTGTTACTCCATCATGGATATCTGGGTAGGGGAAGCTGGCAAACACCTTCCATCAAGTCCCCTTTAGTCCCCTTTAAAGTAACTAGTGGACAGTTAGGAGTCAGTTCAGTGTCTTTGCAACTAAAATACTAGATCTGATGAAAGACCTAAAAATGCTGTCATATTCAACAGTGGTGCAGTCAGAATTCCTGCTTTTGCAGTAGAATCTGTCTTTGTTTCCTTTTGCTGGGAAACATCTAATCGTTAGCTCCAATCCTTTCAAATCCATGGAGCTCCCAGGGATACTGAAGGCCAGAAAAAGGTGGCCTTTCCAGCTACTTTATTCCAAAGCAGCTGCTTCAATTGCAGGTCCTTCTTCTAGGATTGCCATTATATTATTTATACAAAATTTCATAAATATCTGTTGCTTGAATTAATCTGAAATAGTACCGGAACTCCTAGGACTGGTAACATCATTCATGTGTGACTAAGATTCTAATGTACCTTGGCCCTAACACTATGACAACTGAGAGCACAGAGAATATCTGCTGAAGCCACATTGAGCGACTGCAATCTAAACTTTGGGTGCCTTAGAAGAAAGTCCAAACAGCTTCCATTACTATATGTGGAAACACTAATAAAACTACCTCCGGTCTTGAAAAAGTTGTGCCATGACTGCATGCCAAGGTCTGAGTAGAAACAAAAGAATTTGCCACAATATGTAATTTCATTTAAATATTAGAACCTCATGTGTTATACATTGTACCTTGCTACACCTATTTGTAAACAAATAATATTAAAAATATTAAAAAAATAAATTATTAAACTGTAAATTCTTAGACATAAATATATATGAAATGTATTTATTAAATAAAATATTAAATATTTTTAATACTGAAAATTTTGTTTTCTTGATATAGGAAAAAACACATTCCCTTCCTATAGTAATTAGCTGAAGATAATACGCTATTAAATTTAGGAACTTAATGGCTCTTGATATGTCCTTACATAGTAAATCGCAACCCGGATCACCTAGTGATCTAACAGCATGACTGCTACCTTGTTAGCTGTGGACCTGTAGCAAGCACATGATCTACTCTAAGGATGCAATAAAGGGTAAAGGGTATAGGTTAAGAAAAACACCTATAAAACTCAAAAATTCTATAAAAATTATCACATCCCTTGGTTCCTCTAAGCCAGGGGACTACGTATTCACTCTTTAATGAAGCAGCTGCTTACACTGCAGCATATATAAGGCATTTCATTATGGGAGTGCTCTGGCTTTATCAAAAAAAATATTTTCCAGATTTTGATTTCTCATTACAGTTTGAGATAGAAAACAATTTCAAACTCTAAAAAATATCTTGACAGCTAAACTATTTCCTGTATGGCTCGATCAGACAATACTCTTCTCTTCTTCCTTGTGGAAAAGAAATTACAATAGTTGAGGTTATGCCAAAAGAAATGTTCAGTCTTTTTTTTTAACAAGAGTATAGTTGCAGGAATAAAATGTACTTGTGTTGCAGCAGGACTGCAATTGCCCATAATTCTTGTGTGTAATATCATCATCAAGTGACTCACTTGGCACACCTTAATAATTTTGATGTTTTGATGAAAATAAATTTTTTATTTCAGCTATGCACGGTTTGAATTAAATCCCAGCTTCCTGGAAAAAAAAAAAGGGAAGAAAGTGTGAACTTTTGCAGAACGTATTACAGTTGTTGTACTGAATACAATATTAACATTCACCTGCTATCAAATGTAAAAGGTAACATGGGAAACCACACAATGTGGGCAGTCTACTGCTTCTCATCTGCATATTTTGTGCATTACAAAATACCTAAGACTCTGTTCCTCAGCCTTTCCAGACTGCTGATGCCTTCTACAAAAGATGGAAAACTGTACTTCCTTCTATTTAACACACAAGAATGAATCCACAGGTCTGAAAGCCCACACTAGGGGAGGCCTATAAGATTGATGTGCCCTGGTGTTCACAGCTTTGGGGGTTGACTGGAAGTGCTTGACCTTGAAGTACAGGTGCCAAGGGGAGTGAAATTTGTCTTAGCTTTAGATTCTAAGGGCATTGTGAAGGTCTCAGGACAGCTCTGTTTGTGTGATCCCAAGACAACTGTCATCTCTGGGGAGGAAACATAGCCATTATAGGCCAAAAACTTTAAGTATCTTCTTTTCTTGCCAGTATTTGACCTATTACGACCTCCTGCATGCAGTGGCACCTACAATATTCAGGCTCGCTCTTGGTCTGTGTTTTGCATGTGGTGGAGTTCCCCATTGCCTAGACTTGAGGGGTGTGCGTACATGTGCGCATGTGTGTGTGGATAGTGAAGGAGAAGCTGCTTCTCCCCTGAAACCACCCCGCCCAAGGATTTGGTGAGGTAAACTGGCAGAATTCAGACCAGCTTCCCAGAGTGGGTTAGTATCACACTGGTAACATCCCAAGGGCGTACTTGCAGATACGCCCTTGCCACTAACACTGTGTCCTGGTATGCCACTACTACACACCCTGCAGAGCCACAGGGGGAGAGCTGTGCCCAACTAGGAACTTGTTGCTCTTGCCATGCCTTCAAGCCACCCTACTGTGCTTCAGCCAAGGCAGAGCTGCACGGTGTGCTCCCCTAGTCCACGAACCACCTTCTCTTCTGGGAAGGGGGAGGCAGAGAGCACACACTCCTTTTATTCTCCAGTGGAGGCAGGGTGTTGTTCATGTGCATGGAAACCTCTGGCCTGATAGACCTTGCGTGTATGTGTATGTGTGGGTCTGAGATACATAGCCATCATCTCAGCAGGCAGCTTCTACTCTGAGTACTTAGTGGTATATTTGTAATTGGGTGTTGTATATCTTAAGCCATCCTTCCCCTGCTCCGGTAATCTCCCTAGATTAATCACATCTAGAATGCTGTGTCCAGTTTTGGGCTCTCCAGCGTAGAAAAGATGTCATCAAACTGGTATGAGTTCAGCAGAAGGCCCCTGAGGTGTTCAGGGGCTGGAGTGCTTTACGTGAGAGGAAAGGTTCAGCCTTTTCAGCCTGGGGAAGAGATAGCTTCAGGGGAATATAACAGTCGTCTGCCAGTATGTATGAGGAGGTTGTCAAGAAGATGGAGCCACGCTCTTCACAGTCATCTACGGTGATCATGTTATGGAACTGGACTTGAAAGAGGATTCTCCCTTTCTAGAGTTTAAACATACTCTCCTGAAGTGTTTCTGAAACGTAATCCTGTCTCCTTGCAGTCTTTATTTCGGTAGGTTAAACAGCTGAGCTCTTGTGTTCTCTCTTGGGGAGATTCCTTTAGTTTCCAAACCTCTAAGAAGCTTAGCTCTCCTCTCCCCTCATCTCTTCCACCCTCCCCTCCACAGAATATACATTCATGGGGCCTGGCCTTGTGTGTTCATATGAGTTCATCTCATTACTATTGAAAATACCTCACTTTAGCCTTTCGTGCTGGTGGCTCTGACTCACCTTTTGTCTTCTCCAATTGATAGACTCAGGTAATAGCAAAAAAGTCCAATGATAGTTGCATAAGAACATTATATTTTGTGATACCTTGCTTTAAGTCTGTTTCTGTCACTCCTGTCTGTAAAACTATCTCCTCTCCTGCTATCCTCCTCCACCTCATGGTCTCGATCTGTTTCAGTGGAAATACCCTTCCTCTTTCTGTCATCCAGAAATGTCATAAGCACGTGCATGCCTGATTCTAAAGAACAGCTTTATTTGCCCTGATGGAAGGTCCATTTGCCAAGTGTCATGGCTGCGACAGTAGCCAAGACCAAGAGGGAGCAAGAGGAAAGAGTACTCTCCTGAGCCCGAATTGTCTGAGGCTCAGGAATTTCCAGTCTTAAGAGTTACATAAGTTCTGAACAAATAGCCATATGCTTATGAAATTCTTGAAATGCTATAAAACTTAAGGCATGTATAAGAATTGGCTCCAGGTTAGCGCTTGGGAAACACTCCCAGCAAATGACTCTATCGGATAAACCGGTATACTGTCCCCTGTATCCAGTTCTGTATCCAGTCCATACTGCTTGCATTAATACCCACTATTCCATGTTAAATAATATGTTTCTATGGGATGCTGTGTG